TTCAAGTTAGAGTTAACTTGAAAGTGTCGCAACAGTTGAGGCTGTGTGCTACACTGGGATTAGAGTTAATCCTTAGGTTTACAAAGAGTTTTGTAAATGCGGTTTTTGGCTCAGTGATTTTAGTGGAGTTTGGAAAAATCCTACTGAGTAGTAGGTCGTGGTTTTTTTCACCTTTTGAGCCAGGTGTTTTCCACATAAAAATCTCTGTGCACTTTACTTTTAGTATTTATTATTCCGCAAACTGCTGTAGTTAGAACACTTAGAAGAACCAGGTTCTTCTAACGCAAAAATTAGGTACCACACAAATCACCCCCCCCCTCTTGTGTGGTATTGACGTTTATAACATCAATTGGTATCAGAGTAGGTTATCCTTGAAGAGGTTAACACCTTAGGAAAAGATCAACATGAGTGCACCACCTGGGAACTGGGAAGGGCAATCCACTGCCAGGCCTCCTCTCTTCAATGGCCTCTACTACTCCTGGTGGAAAAACAGAATGAGGGACCATATAATGGGAGAAGACTATGAGCTTTGGGATATCATCACTGATGGTCTTTTAGCCACAACCAAGAAGAATGCTGAAGGAGTGGATGTTCCAAAGACAAGAGTAGATTGTACTGCTGAAGATCAAAGGAAATGGGAGAAAAATGCAAAAGCCAAGAAGTGGTTAGTGTGTGGACTTGGTCCTGATGAGTACAACAGGATTCAAGGTTGTACTATTGCCAAGGAGATTTGGGACACTTTACAAGTGGCTCATGAAGGAACACCTCAGGTGAAGAGGTCAAGAGGAACACTGCTGTATTCTCAATATGAGAATTTTACTATGAAGGATGGAGAAACTATCCAAGAAATGTATGCCAGGTTCACTACACTGACAAATGAACTTGAGTCTCTTGGAAGGATTATCCTGGAAGAAGACAAGGTGGAGAAGATTCTAACTAGAGTTTTGCCAATCTCCCGGGAAAGCAAAATCACTGTCATTCAGGAATCCAAGAACATTGCTACTTTGAAGTTGGATGAACTGATTGGAAATCTCACTGCCTATGAATTGAGAAGGCAAACAATGAAAATGGATGCTCCAAAGAAAGAAAAAAGTCTGGCTCTTAGAATTTCAGAAGGATCAGATCTTGAAGATGATGAAATGGCTATGATAACCAGAGATTTCAAGAAATATCTTATGAGATAAAAGGGTGCTTTAAAAGGAACAACATTCAGCAAACCGAGGGCTCCTGAGAAACAAACCAATGAGGGGTGTTACAAGTGTGGGAAGACTGATCACCACATCAAAAACTGCCCTCAATGGGAGATTGAATGGAAGAAAGAAAGAGCTGAAAGAAGAAACAGGAAGAAGGAACAGGTTCAACCAAAAAGAAACAAAGGTTCAACTAAGGCTATGGTTGCTGCTTGGGGAGAAACATCAGATGAGGACTCTGAAGATGAAGCTGAGGAGGATCAAGCTCTAATGGCCATCGGAGAATCAGAAGATGGACAGGAGGTAGTATTCTACACCTTAAAGAAAAGATTAAGTTCTTGTCTAAAGAAAAACTGGCTGATCTGCTGATGGATTTCATAGATAAGTCTGAAATAATAAACAGTGAGAAGGATGTTCTGTTTAAGGAATGTGTTATCCTAGAAGAAAAATGTAAAAGGTTAGAGTCTAGGGCTGATGAGAGTGATAACACAAATACTAAGTTGAAGAACCAGGTTCATCAACTTGAAAATAAGATTCTAGAACTTAGATCTGAAAATATTAAACTGAAGTTATGGACAGAAAAGAAAAGGGATGATCAATCATTTCTCACCCTAGAAGAAAATCTAGGAAAAATGAAAGATGAACTGTACAAGAAAGATGAATTGATTAAAGTCCTATAAGAAAATTTAGGAAAGGTAAAGCATGAACTAGACAGAACATGCAAATGGAACAAGGCTTCCGATGCACTTTCCTGGCTGCAAGAACATCATAGTAGCAACAAGAGAGACTTGGATTTGGGACACAAGCTCCAAAATGGGATCCCAAAAACAAGTATCTCACACTTCCTAAGAATAAGATCTGCACACACTGTGGTAATACTGGCCATTACAAAAATGAATGTAATGCAACAGAAAAGGCCAGTCAAAAGAACAAAGCCTTTGTTCAAGAAAAGCACAAACTGCCTGGTTGGGTAAAGAAAAATTTAATTCATCCTTTTGCCCATAGAAAGGGACCCAAACTAGTTTGGGTTCCTAAGACTAACCCATGATTTCGTTTTGCAGGACCAAGTGAAGGGAAGTAGCCAAATATGATACATGGATAGTGGCTGCTCAAAACATATGACTGGTAACAAGAACTAGCTCCTTTTACTTGAGAACCTAAAAGGAGGTAATGTCTCCTTTGGAAATGGAAAGAAAGGTGAGATAATTGGTGTTGGAAAGGTAGGAAAGACAGACTCTCATTCCATTGACAATGTCTATTTGATAGATGGCTTAAAATATAGCCTGATAAGTGTGTCACAACTGTGTGACAGAGGTAACCTTGTGGCTTTCACTTCCACAAAATGTTTTGTGATTAGCCTTACTACTGACAAGATTGTTTTGCAGAGAAGGAGAGTTAACAATATTTACATTGTAGATCTGTCAACTCTCTCTGAAAATGAACTCACTTGCTTGAGTGTGTTAATTAATGATCCCCTCCTTTGGCACAAAAGACTTGGCCATGCCAGTCTAAATCAATTGAACAAATTAGTCTCCAAGGACTTGGTGATAGGGTTACCTAATATCAAGTTCAAGGAAGACAAAGTTTGTGAGGCATGTGCAAGGGGGAAGCAGGTAAGGTCATCCTTCAAACCTAAGAAAATGGTAAGTACGTCCAAGACGTTGGAACTGGTTCATATGGATCTTTGTGGTCCAATGAGAACCATGAGCAGAGGTGGTAAAAGATATGTAATGGTGCTTGTTGATGATTATTCTAGATTTACCTGGGTATTGTTTCTAACTTCTAAAGATGAAACATTTGAAATGTTCACTGCTTTTATTAGAAAAACCCAGAAACAATTAGGAAATCAACTTGCATCCATTAGGTCTGATCATGGAACTGAATTTGAAAATGCAAAGTTTGCTAAATTTTGTGATGAAAATGGAATAGATCATAATTTTTCTGCCCCTAGGACTCCTCAGCAAAATGGGGTAGTTGAAAGGAAGAACAGGACCCTTGAGGATATGGCAAGGACCATGCTACTTTCCAGTAAACTACCTCATAGCTTCTGGGCAGAGGCTATAAACACTGCTTGTTATATAATAAATAGATGCATGACTAGACCTCTTGTAGAGAAAACTCCCTATGAGTTACTTAAAGGGAGAAAACCAAAC